GTGATTAAAGGCAGTTTTACTTTTTCCTTTCCAATATGGATGTCTTTTCTTTTTTTCTTTTTATTTGTTTTTTTTTTTTTTTCCTGAGGAAGATTTGCCCTGAGCTAGCATCTCTCTGCTGGTCTTCCTCTATTTTTTAGTATATGGGCTGCCAGCACAGCATGGCTGCTAACAGAGTAGTGTAGGTCTGTGCCCAGGAACCAAACCCAGGCTGCCAAAGCAGAGTGTGCAAAATGTAACCACTAGGCAACCAGGGCTGGCCCTATTTTTTTATTTTTCTAATAACACTGGCTAGAACCTCCAGTACTATATGAATAGAAGTGTTCTTGCTCTTCTCATATAAAAGTTACCGCATATAAAATAATAGGAAATAACTGCATAAAACAAATTAATCTGCTTAATACCAGAGCTATATTACATTCATGGGTGGAAGAAGCAATGTAGTTATAATAATAGCTGAGACTCATTACTTGCTATCTTCCAGGCAGTGTTTTAAGCACTTTATATGTATTAATTCACTTAATCTTCCCAACAGCCCTAAGAGGTATGTACGATTATAGATGAGGATGCTGAGGGCTTATATAACTTGCTACAGTTATGAAGACATTAAAGGGCAGAATTAGGATTTGGAAATGAGCGGTCTGGCTCCAAGGCCAAGTTCTTTACCACTATGCCATGTGTCATGCTTTGGGCTAATTACCTACAAATATTATATCTAATTTACTCTTTGCCACATGATGCATAAAATTATTCCCAATGTACTTATGTCCTGAGTTTCAGTTTCCTTTAAGGGACTCACTCCAAATTCACATGTGATATTTAAACCCAGGTGTGTCTGAAACCTGTGAATTTTCCACTTGTATTGTCCTTAAGTGTGTTTTTAATTGATTCCATCTTTGATGAATCAATCAATGTCTTTTTTTCCCAAAACCTGAGAGTTTTTAGAAGCGATACCTAATACCAGTCATGCCTTTCCCTTGCTTTGCTAGACGGAGATGTCAGAACTGACCCGTGCTCAGGTAGCATCTGAATGAGGATTTGACACCATAGTCCTGCAGTAGGAAGCAGGTTCTCCTAGTGTCGTGGTTTTCAAGCTTTTTTGACTGCAATCCACAGGGAGAAAAATATTTTTTATCACAACCCTGTTATACTCACAGAGACACATATTATATTCACCGAAGGTTTCATTAACAATGTTTAACTTTACATATTAAGAGAATTTATTCTATGTTATTCAGTCTATCTTATTTCTTCAAAAAAAGTGCTTGTCAGAACCAGCCAAACTGATTTCACAACCCATTAATGGGCTATGAGCCACAATGTGGAAACAATGCATTGTAAAATATTTTAGGTCTCTTCCAATGGTCAGATTTCTCTCAAGATGGCCTCCAAGAGACAGCTTCAAGTGTGAGTGACTTCTTTGAACTTATTTGGTAACCATGGTAATTTCTAAAAATAGAACCTCAGGAATGCATCTCAGACCCACCTAAAAGTTGTGTTTTAACCTTGCTTTTCTCCTTCCTTTCTTTAGTTCATTTATTGATTCATTGTTTTTTCTACAACTACTTGTGGAGTCGACTTTTCAGGTAGCGTGCAGGTACTGAGGAGTCAAAGATGAGTGAAAGCGGGCATGCATCCTGATGGCTTAGTGGGAATGAAAACAGTCCATCCAAAAGCACACGGGAAAACATCTTCAAATTAGAATAAGTTCTGTGAACAAGAAGATGGGTTGTATATAACAGGGGACCTGGTTTAATATGAGTGTTAGAAATGTCTCTGTGACACGTGACACTTGGGCTGAGACTGAAAGATGAATAGAAAGTAACAAGATGTGGACAGCACTGTGAGTCCACATGGGCACGGGTCTCCCCATATCACAGGCTTCTAAGCCTGGAAGGGCATGAACTTCTAGGTGAGGAATGGAAGGAAAAGATCTTCAAGATAAGCCTGGAAAAGTAAACAGGCCCAGACCATAAAGGATCCTGTAGACCATAGAAAGAGGTGAAGGGTTTTACAAGGCTGTATAACATACGACTCACCTTTTAAAAATACAACTATGGTGTGTAGAATGGATTGGAGGGGTCCAAGATTCTACGAGAGAGCTATGAATAGCCGATTGCAATGATCTGGGTCAAACACGATGGAGGAGGGTGGAGCAGGTGATGGTCTTTTGGTACTTATCTCTGCTTTTACTGAGCATACTTTGCAATGAGTTTCGCGTGCACTGGGATCAGACTTATTACCTTTGGGGCTGTCAACTAAGAAATAAATAAGCCATGATATAGCACGTCAAAAAAAAGTTATGGAAGTGCACATATCTATGTCATAAGTGGCTAAGGTATAAGAAAGCTCTTAGTCTTTTATTTTAAAACAATCAGATTATGATATTAACTTGCATATCCACCAAACTGTTATGCCCACATATTTTAGTGGATATATTTCTGGAAAATAAAATAGTTATTTTTCTTCCCTCTGAGAGTTTAAGATCTGCAATAGAGTGCTTTAGATCTGATGTACTGAAGGAGAAAAATGATTTTTAGCAGCCAAACCTGGCTCCATGATTAAACAAATTTATATTCATACTGGGCAAGGGAAGCCTGTTGCCCCTTATCTGGGCTGCTTCTTTCTTTGATTAATAATCCCCTGCATGGTTGAACACTGTTGTTAACTGGCCATGACTGGCACCTTTATCGGTCTGTTGTTTGAATAAAATTAACTTAACCCCAGTAAAAATGTTTGTTCATCTAGGGTGAATTTAATAAAACCATAGTCCTCAGAGTTCAATGGAGTAATGGGAGAGGAGTTCTCTGGTTTCTGACCTCCACGTTCCTCCAGTGGGGAGCTCAAGGCAGTCAGTAGCTGCTCTGCATGCTGACCCAGTCTGCATAAGTTGTTTCCAGGAGCATCTAGCTATGTTTGTGGTTAGCACTCTCTTTTCCCTTCCTTTGGTACCCAGTCCTCTCCCACCTGACAGTCCCTACCCCATCTGTCAGCTATCCCAAAAGTCCTTGCTCAAATCCCGGGAGCTATCATCATTTCTGAGAGCTGCATGAGGGGTAACAGGTCCCAGGCGTGATTTCGTAGTAATTAGCACATTGTTGCTCACTGGAAGGCTGTAAAACACAACGAATGTAATTTATAGTGGTGCAGTTGGAAAGATTGTGAATCAAATAGCCCTGGTCCAGGCACCTTTCCTGGTGCGCATTAAACCTATGGCAGAGGTGACCAGCCAGTCATGGCATTGAGGTAAAGAATATCGTTTCTTGCAAGACAATACCAACGATGCATTTCTCAGATTTTGACAAAGCACTTCCTGTGTGTCTGTCTAAATTCCCCCCAAGAGCTTAATTTCTGACATCTTCTGTACGAATCAGTTTTTAGTGGTAAGCAAAATTTTATTTGTTGAACAAGTAAGCATCAGGCACTGTTAGCCTTCATTAGAATGTTACCACCTCAGAGTAATGCTTCATCGAATTTCTCTTTTTTTATTTTCAAATCCCCTCCTTTTCCTTTAGCACAATGATCATTAGGAAGAAGAAAATGTACTAAGTACAGTTCTCCCATCATTGATATTCTACACTTATTTCCTAAGCCAGGAATTTGTCACTAGGAATTGGTTTGCATCCTGCGGCATGGCTTGCAAGCACTTAATTCTTTGATTCAAATAAAACTTTAAAATGGGATCTCAGTGATATTATGTCAAAAGAGACATGTCAAAACAGTATTGATACAGAGAGCTTTATTGCAACTGGAAGTCCTGCTTGTGCTCTGAGGGAAACAAAACAAACCACAGCAGTAGGAATACATTTTTACAGGAGGCCGTTTGCAAACAGCAGAGGCCATTTCTGCTCTCCTGTGGCTCATTTCCTCTTCCAATCTCTCCACCCCACGCTCCTTCAAGTGTGAAGCCCTTGTTTGATTGTACATCCTGCTTAAAACCCTTCAGTGTCTCCCAACACCTACAGACTCATGAACCAGCTCCTGTCATGGGATCTGCCTTCTGCTCAAGCTTCCCCATCATACCTGTTGTTCCAGCAAACCCAAACTATTTCCCTTCCCTATGTCTGTGTTCTGACTGTAGTCTTTAGTCTATGACTATGTTCTTTCCCGTGTCTGTGTTTAGAACATGCTATTTTTCCCACTCAAATCTTACTTTTACACTTGGAGAACTCTTCGTCTCCACCGTTTATTAGGAGTTTGACCTTGTGCAAGTTACTTAAACTTCACTGGGCCTTCATTTCCTCATTTGTAAAATGGGCGCATAAGAGCAGCATTGTAGGGCCAAGGGGTAATCTTCATTACTTCAGAGCCTGCCCCAGAGAAGTCACTCATCAGAAATATCAGAGATGGTAACTTTATTTTGTAGTTATTATTACTGTCGCCATCCTTCAAAATTTAGCTCAGGTTTCACCTCTGCTGAGCAGCTTTCTCTTACCTCATCCCAAAGACTGAGCAAATTGCTTCCTTGTACTGTGCCTTCTTTATTGCTCTTTTTATATGTTTTTCTTATCATTAGTGTGGTACATGATTTGTCGTAATGTTGCTGGGCAATGAAGTTGTTAGCGTGGAAAAATGGGCATGAGCATGGTTCAAGGAGGCCTTGTAACTCATATTTTATGGACTTCTTGCAGCAGTGTGGTTAGCATGTGATCGTTAATGATAAGTGAATAAATGGGGCTTTCTTTATTTCCTGGGCTTTATAGCTTTGTAAGCTAACAGTTAATGAATGCTTACCATATGCAAGGCATGATATTAAATATTATACTTATATTTATTCTTTACCATGATCAAATGTGATAGATATTCTTATGATTCCCATTTTACACATGTGAAAACTGAGGGCCTAGGGTCGTAGAGCTGGTGACAGACCATGTACTCCCAAAAAGCCAGAACTCTTTGCTCGAAAACACTCTCCTCTGATCTGTAAGGGGTTATTTGCCTCTGGAACTCTTTAGTGTGTAAATGTAGTTAATGCATTTTCACTTCCAATTCTATTCCAGGTACTCCTTCCAGGATGAGGAAGACATGTTCATGGTGGTGGACCTGCTGCTGGGCGGGGACCTGCGTTACCACCTGCAGCAGAATGTCCGCTTCCAGGAAGACACCGTGAAGCTCTTCATCTGCGAGCTGGCCATGGCCCTGGACTACCTGCAGAGCCAGCACATCATTCACAGGTCAGTCAAGTCCAAGGGCACAGCCTTGGACTGAACGCACAGGAGAGAATTCACAATCAGCCTCATTCAACAAGTCCTTGTTGAACATGACATTTAATCCTCACTTAATTCTTACAACAATTCCTTGAGGTAGGTTTATTGTCCCCATTTTGCAGAATAAAAAACAAAACAAAACAAAACAAACTGGGGCCTGCCCCTTGGCATAAAATGGTTAAGTTTGGCACACTCTGCTTCAGCAGCCCAGGTTCATGGGTTCAGATCCTGGGTGTGGACCCACACCACTCATCAGCCACACTGTGGTGGTGACCCCCATAGTAAAAAAAAACAAAGGAAGATTGGCACAGATGTTCGCTCAGGGCTAATCTTCCTCAGCAGAAACGAAACAAAACACCTGAGCACATTGAGCTTAATTTGCCCATGGTCACAGTTAGTTATCAAAAACACCAGAAGCAATGAATATTGATACTGTTTTATAACTAGCCTAGACAAAGAGGATAAAAGATGACACATAGGAACTTAATAAATATTAAATAAATCAATTGAGGTAGAGATGGAGGAAGTACATGGAGAGAAAGAAATAGAATGGGAAGGAAGAAGGTTCTTTGAGGAGCAAATTTGAAACCTAACATCCACCTGTCATCTGCCCCATACTGAGTCCCTAGAATGTGTGTGCTGCAAATAAACGTCAGCAAAATATAAATCTCCTTCACTTGGGCATTTGTGTAAATAAAGACAAAAAATGAACACAACTATTTATAAGAATTTCGAACCTAATCACCATCAAAGCAGTTACTCTTTATTGACAACTTACTATTTGCCAGGCACTGCTAAATACTTTCGTATATTATCTATTAAATTCTCGAAACTCAAGGAGGACCCTACATTTCATTACAGTATCCTGTTATATAGGTGAGGAAAATATGGCTCAAAGATTTGCCGAGGACAAACAGCTGACAAATGGCGTTGCCAGGATTTAAACCTAGATCACTCTGACCCCAAAGTCAGCTCTCTGTCTATTATACCAACTTGCATTAATTACACATATGAAATATTTGCATTAATTAATCACACATTAAATGAAAGATAAACACATGTGACTCTGCCACTCTCTCTCTAATCTTTGAAGAATTTGATGAGTTTTTAAGTACAATTAGGTCTCATTTAGTAAAAATATGGCTAGATAAAATATTTGCACACCACTGGTTGACGTTTATCTGGATTAGTACAGAGCCTGTGGATGAAGATGTAGCATCATAATTTATAGATTCTCTGTGTAGGCACCATGGACCAAACCTTTGTTTTTTCCTGGCCTTGGCCCTGTGCTCTTACATAATTATTGTTTAATTTTCTGTCTTTAGAAGGGCCTATTTGTATTGGAAATATGCTCTTCAGGCAACAGATAAATGGAAAGCAGACCAGTTAATCATGTAGGATTTCAGAAGTAAATTTACACACCTGGTGTTTTTTGAATGACTAGGAATCCTGTTGACAAGCCATCTTTCTCCCCTACTGGCTTTCTGGTCCCCTACAGATCTTTCTGAGGAGAAACTTTTCATCTTTGTCGTCCATGGTGTTCCTCTCAGAGCCTTCATGCTCCCTCATCCTCGCCAAAATTGCCAAGCCACAGTCTGCTTTGGCTGTTGACATTGTAGATCTCAGAAAGGAGACGGGTACTATGAGAAGCAAGCCTGGCCTAAGAGCTCCTTTTAAGTTTCTCCTTTGTCTACTTGAATCTGGGTTCTGTGCCTTCTTTCTCTGGGCTTCATTTTCTTCTCTATCACAAGTCAAGATACTCTGAGCATTTTTGCCTTGTACTTAGAACTGTGTTCCAAAAAGAATTCAAGAGAAAGAAACAAAACAAACAGAAAACTTGACACAAACTTACCCTCAAGAGACTTACTAAATACCAAATATTCTGTACTTCTCTCCCTCACTCTTTACTGCTCCCATCATGGTTTTGCCATTTAAATAAGAAACCAAGATTAACTTTCTGCTCCTAGCCCTTTACACACTCACAATTATTAGGTAGTGCCCATCCTCAGAAAGGCCTCTTTGTACGGAAGTGTCTCCTCACCATGGCAGGCAAACACAAGGATATTTTGAACGCTGTGTTAAAATGAGATGACATCCTCTTGGGGTCAAAAAACAATTCAAGTGTGTTTGTGTTGCCCATATACCCCATCTCACCTCCCCATGTGTTATATTTTGTTGGCAATAATAACATCTGGTACCTCTCCTGAGGAGTCGGGACATTGTTGGTGTGTAATTGCTTAATTAATGTTTGTCTGCACTACAAAATTGTAAACTCTGTGAGTTAGGGCCATGTGTGTTTTGCTTTTCATTATATGTGATGCAAAATATGTAATGCAATGTGATGCAAAAATACGAAGGAATAGGTGTTGCCTGAACTGCAAATGACTGATTGACTAGAAGCCAGGGTTTACAAATAGCAAAGACAAAATTAAAATGTAGGGCATTAAAGCCATAAATTTCAGACCTACCTGGGTTGTCATGTTGGGTGATCGTATGATTTATCATCCAAATCAGGGTACTCCAGAGAAAAAAAGGAGATGCTATTAATAATTGTGCTGGGACAACTGACAAAAGCTCATCAATGTTCTTGAAAAAATAAGGACATATATCAACGTCATTAATATAGTTACCAAATAGGCATTTTAATTGTGAGAAAGCTCTAAGAATCAGGACTCTGCCTTCAGAATACCAGATGAAGTGATGTCAATTTGTAATTGGTGTCAAATGGCTTAAAAAACATGTACACGATAAAATAAGCAGTGTCCCTTTGTATTTAAAGGATGATAATGGTGGCACTCTGAGGCTGGGGCTTCCAGGGCAGAGTTAAAAGCATGAAGAGCAACATAGAAGAAGAGATGGAGCCTTCTGAGTACTGTAATTCTCTCTTTATTTTTTTTTTTGAGGAAGATTAACCCTCAGCTAACATCTGCCACCAATCCTCCTCTTTTTGCTGAGCTAACATCCATGCCCATCTTCCTCTACTTTATATGTGGGACACCTGTCACAGCATGGCTTGACAGGCGGTGCCATGTCTGCACCTGGGATCTGAACCGGTGAACCCTGGGCCACCGAAGTGGATGTGCGAACTTAACTGCTGGGCCATCAGGCCTACCCCTGTAATTCTCTTTCTATAATATCTTTCTTCAAAAGAATCAGCACAATTCATGCTGTGTTTGATTGAATCTAAGATAACAAAACAAAACATCTTTCAGCTACTTAGAAGATTGGATTATAGGACACATCTTGAGTTCCAAGATTTTAAAGTGTGAATGAAAAAAGAAAAGAATCAACAAAGTCGGGTAGATTCCCCAGACAAGGGCGTCTGTGTAAAACTGCAGACATGAAATATGTGACTTCCTAATTTCAGATCGTAAACAACCTTTTGTCTCTGGACATGGTAGAAGCTTTAAAATTATTCATAGCGCTCAGCAAATATGTGTGGAGCAGGAGCGCCAGTGGGCTGCCATTTACTGAGGGCTTTCTGGGCACCAGGTGCTCTGCTAAGCACTTGTCCTGAATTTTTTCACTCAATCTGCCCACAGCTCCAGGAGGTTGAAGATGTTATTGTTACCGTTTTACAGCCGATGAAACTCTGGTTCAGAAAGATTAAGTAACTTGCCCAAGGTTGCATGGCTAACAAGTAGGTGAGGCTTCCCTTGAAGGACATGCAGAGCTCTTAACCACTCTCCATACTGCTGATGTTCAAGACGGTCGTAGCCCAGAGGAGGATGTGGTACAAGGTGAGGCATGGCCACTTGCCTTCAGGTACCCGCAGTCTGGCCGCACAGGTAAAGATGATACGTACGGAACCAACAGATGAGAGCCGAAAACTGGAAGCTAAATTGTGTGAGGAAGACTGAAGTACTTCAAAGAAGGAGATGGTTTGGGATAACAAAACAAAGTTTCTTGAGAGCTCAGAGGGTTTAAAAAGGGTTTTAATAACCAAAACAGAAAGGAGAGTCTCGTCCATGTAAGGGGAGCTGTATTCTGAATGAGAGTACTCATTTGTCTCCGTCTGGTAACACAGAATGGGCTCTGTTTTAAATTTTTTGTTCACATTGACTTTCCTGCTAGCAGTGTCGAGCTTAGTTATTTTTTTAAACACCCTGAGTCCTGTTTCTGCTATAAATTCCAACTGAGATATAAATAGGGTTCTGCTTTATTTGGTTTGTGGATTTTTTTAAATCCACAAACTTGACTTTTTTTGTAGTTTCCTACATATGTAGAACATTTAGCTACCTTTCCACAATATTAAAATCTTTCTTTTCTATCATTATTGTGAAAGACACAGATTGCACAATAACTATTAATTTTGAATTGTACAATTAGACAGTTTTCCTACTAGTCAAGAAATCAAACATTTTTCTATGAGTACAGCTTGAAAATCAGCTTTAGTTTCCAAATTATGGAATTTTAGTTCAATATTTCCCTTTACTTATGTTAAATCAGTGAATGAAGATTTTGAAATATGGACACAGTGATTATTTGCTTTTATTTAAAAAAATAAGGAAAATGAAACTCATTACAGTCCTTCCTATGGGTATAGAACTGTTTGATTTGTTGATTGCCACAGTTTCTCCAGTGAATAATGTGATGGAAAGTAATCACTGCAGTCCAGAGACAAATTTGTATTCACTCCCTTGTCAGATAGTAAAGAAGACTCAATTATGAATTTAAGCTAATGAGATAAATTGTATGGGACAGTCAAATAGCAAATCATCTTGGATTAAAATACCTTTGAGGGGATGTTAGATTGGTTTTTCTTAAAGAATTACCCCACTCTAATGAAGTTATAACTCACTGCTTTCTAAATTCCCATAGGAATAAGATAGAAATCTAATTAGGCAATTTGTGTAAATAATTGCAGTACAATGGAGTAAGTTGCAAAAATTTCATCTCCAATTGATTACAGATATGTTGAAATAGGAATAAAAGAGAATTTTTGATTTTCAAAAAAAGATAGGATG